CTCTCCCCACTAAGTCTGTGAATCTCTTTCACATCTTCCTCTTCTTCTTCCTCATCTTCCTCCCGGTTCCTTTTCAAGGAGGCTGACCGTTTGGGACGCACTTCCTCCACCTCCATGGTGTTGTCTTGTTTTTCCGGACTCTTTTGTCTTTGTTGATCTTGTAGCTGCTGTTTTTGTTGCTGTTGATGCTGTTGCCTATCCTTGGGTTGTTGTGCTGGTTGTTGAGCTGGTTGTTGGGCTGGTTTCTGCTTGGGTGGCTGTAGCTTTTTGACTGGCTCCTCCTTCTGTGAGGGTGAGGGGCCCGCATTTTGTTTACGTCCCTTTGCCACCACTTCCTTCCACCCGTCATCCTGAGCTTTGCTGGGTTCAGTTGCTTTTGGGGATGTTGTGGCTACTACAGCTGTTGGTTGCGGCGTTGCTTTTTTGCCAGGACACGCCTTGGCCATGTGTCCCAGTATTCCACATGCCCAACAGTAAGGTTTACGTCTCTCCACCACCACCAACATCCGCCGCTTTCTGCAAATAATTGTGTTGGGTATGTCCTTGAAATTTTCCTGGTTTAACGTAATTTCTAAGGAAACATCTCCCGTCGCAATGCCTGTCTTGCTCATAATTGCTGATACTTTCTCGATTTTCCCGTAATGGGCGAAAAAAGCTCCCAGCCGGTCTTCCGTGATGTCTATGGGCACCCCATGCACTGTCACGTTCGTTCTACGGGTGCCCATATACTCCGTTTGTAGCCTAAGGTTTTTTGCCGTTAAGACATTCCCGGCTAGCTTCTTTGGGTCTTCTTCTGTTGCCATTAACAGATCCCACAGCGCCCTTGTCCTCCTTGCCAGAATTTTCGGCGCTATGTTGAGGCTTTTAAGAGCCTCTTCCATAGTTTCCCTGCTGACAGCAGTTAAATTCCGATTTTTAATATCGGACGTCAGCAGGGAAATAGTCTTGACATTTACCGCATCAAACACTTCCTTGATGGTTAGGAGTTCGTTTCCATTGATGAATTCTTTATATTTTTGCCTTAGCACGTTGTAGTACACTGCATCCTTTTTGGGCCGGCTTTCTACCCAGGCCGATTTTTTGGGAGATACATTTTCCATTGACACCGGCAGTTGAGCGTCCGGAATTTGAGTCGACTCCGCCATAATAGTAATGTATACTATTACGACGGAGAACCCGTTAGTTATGCTGTTTTTCTTTTACAGTTTTGTTTTTTTGCAAAAACAGAAATGAAACAAAAATATTCAACAGATAATATTCAAACAGAAATCAAAGAAAGAAGAACCAGACCGAAATCCGGGGTAAACAAAACAAACAAACAAATACAAACAAACGAAATGAAATGAATCAAATGAAAGAAGGGGAGGGTATTAGCACGAAAAAAAAAAGAAAGGAAAACTTAAAATACACAAACGCAAAATCAAGCTGAAAATGAAAAGAGGGTTCAAAATAAATAAAGGTAACTAACTTATAAATTGACTTCGTTCAGCAACAGTTCACTGGACAACACGCACTAGAAAGTGCAAAGATACACACGAGTGTATATGTTTCTACTAGTGAGCTGGCCCAAATGACTTGACTCACTTTATAGTCCACCAATAGAAGGTTAACCAATCAGAAGACGTAGAATATTCAATCCGTCGTGTATAAAGGCGGACATTTTGTTTAGTCTCTCCGAATGTCCAGTGCCAACTGGTCAGGCGAAGAGGAACCGAAGGAGGAACTACTGAACTACGCTCTGCTACTCTTACCAAAATATCTACTGCTAACCTGAAATACGATTCCCTACTGTCTTCGAAATATTCACTGCTAACCTCTAAACTCGAAGACAACCGTCATGATGAACAACACATGTAAATTTTGGTGCAAATCCGTCTAAAATTGTGGCCGTGCATTCGTTACACACACACACACACACATCCTGCCTTTTATAGATAGAGATTGACATTAAATCTGAGAGGCACAGTGAATAGTGGCTGGGATTGAGAAATCATAGGAACGATTTCGAATTCCGGTCGGATCCATTACATTCACTTACGGCTTAAGAAAGGTATGAAAATAGGCAAAAGGCAGGACAGACTGGGTTCTCTAATCTTGGATGGCAACTGGTCTAGGAGAAGGAAAAACATTTAATTCAAAACCAGCCTGGAGAGGGTTGGACTCCATCAGGCTATCTTGCCCAAGAAACACCACTTCTACTGTGGCTGCAATACACATACTCTCACTATCTCTCACTTCACTTGCTCTCGCTATCCCTCGCTCCATACTATGACTCTCGCTATCTCTCGTTTCACACTCTCTCTCGCTATCCCTCGTTTCACACACACACACACACACACACACACTCTCTATATATATACTACCCTTGGGAAAGGTATGATTCCTCCTCTTATTCTCCCCCCAGCTATGGGTAAATAACAGGCAGACTGTGTTCTATAACCTTTAATTCAAAACCGGCCTGGAGAGGGTTGGGTTCCATCAGGCTATCTTGCCCAAGAAACACCACTTCTACTCTGGCTGCAGTACCCATACTCTCACCATCTCTCACCTCTCTTGCTATCCCTCACTCCACTCTCTCTTGCTATCTCTCTCCACTCTCTCTCTCTCTCTATCCCTCGTTTCACTCTCTCTCTCGCGCGCCCGCTATCCCACACCTCTCTCTCTTTCTCTCTCTCTCTCTCTCACTATCCCTCACTTCAGTCTCTCTCTCTCTCTCTAATACCCTTGGGAAAGGTATGATTCCTCTTCTTCTTCTCCTCCCCCAGCTATGGGTCAATAGCAGACAGACTGGGTTCTATAACCTTGAGTGGAAGGAGAAGAAAAACTCTTAATTCAAAATCGGCCTGGAGAGGGTTGGACACCATCAGGCTACCTTGCCCAAGAAACACCACTTCTACTGTGGCTGCAGTACACATGGTGCCCCTACGTGCGACGGTTAAAAAATACGTGAAGTCCTACGAACCTCTCTGTAAATAGAAGCAATGGTTGGTAGGCTTAAAGGTAAATAACCTTCAATGTTAAATTTGTTATTTACATATTAGTCTATATATCAGGTCATCCCATAAGTTCTGTCCGAATTTTAACTTTTTGTTAAAATGAACGAAATTTAAAGTGTATTTTATAATGTCTAATGGAGCTGAACATTATTTTTATGTTTAGATGCATTTAAAGTGATCAAATTTTATTTCAGAGAACAATAAAATTAAATTTTGTTTGATTAAAACCCTGCTAACATGGAAGTAACGAAGAATCATTTTAGGCATATAATGCTTTATGAGTTCAAGAAAGGAAACTCTGCAGCCGAAGCGGCTAGAAACATTCACTCAGTTTATGCAGAGGAATGTGTGAATGAAAGAACTTACAGAAGATGGTTTGCAAAATTCAGTGGTGGAGATTTCACCCTTGAAGATGAAGATCGAACCGGACGTCCAGTTGAGTTTGATGAAAAGCTTCTTGAAGCAGCCCATGAAGAATATCCTGCTTTATCAGTTGAGGAATTGGCAGTGGTTCTCAATTCAAACCATACAACTGTTCATCGTCATCTTCAACAACTTGGAAAAGTTCCTAAACTTGGAAAATGGGTGCCTCATGAATTGTTTGAAAACAACCTCAAATCCCGAGTTGACATCTGCTCTTCTCTCCATTCTCGCCTTGTTTCACCTTTTTTGGATAGACCTGTGACTGGCGACGAAAAATGGATCTTTTATCGAAATGTTAAGCGTCGTAGACAGTGGCTTTGTAAAGGGGAAGGACCCCAGCCACAGCCGAGAATGGAACTTCATGGACAAAATGTTCTTCTTTCAATCTGGTGGGATCGCCAAGGAATAATCCACTTTGAATTCTTACCACATAATGCAACATTTAATCCTCAAATATACTGTTAGCAATTAGAGCGTTTGAACCAAGCTTTGAGGAAAAAAAAGTCCTGCTCTAGTGAATCGAAAAGAGGTGATATTTCATCAGGACAATGCGCGACCCTACACAGCAAGAATCACGTCACAAAAGATCGAAGAACTTGGTTGGGAGAAAATTCCTCATCCACCTTATTCTCCCGATCTTGCTCCTTCAGACTCCCATTTGTTTTGTAGCTTACAGAATCATTTGGAAGAAACAGATTTTGTAATACAGGAAGAGGTTAAAACTGACATTTGTGAGTTCTTCGAATCAAAGCCAAAAGAATTTTAATGGAATTAGTAAGCTTGTTAATAGATGGAAGGAAGTCATAGATAATCAGGGAAAATACATTGTTGATTGAATCTGTAATTAAATGTAACATTTGGTCACTTGATTTCTTTATTCAAAATTCGGACAGAACTTATGGGATGACCTGATATAATTTTGGTATTAACAAGTTACCACAGTATATGAATGGTCATTTGATATTTCTGTTTGTATTAGTGTAATAAAATGATTTTATATGTAAAAGCTATTTAACAATTAAACTCCCAATTTGTTAAGAAATGAATTCCAAATTTCAACATAATCATCTCGGTGAAAGCGAAGATGACTTGCATGAGCAGATATTGGCCAACTCTTTTCCCAGATCTTATCCCCATGTTTTTCTCGTTGTAAATCCAATAATTCTTTCATAGCTTTCACATTACACATTGGATCGTTCTCACAATAAAAGAATAATGAAGGAACTGGCAAAACATTTTCTTTAAAGAAATCAATGACCTTATTGTAGATATCCCGGGTGTACTTGCTAGTTAGATGAATATAAAACAGAGTTAGTCTTTTTATTATTCTTTGCAAGAGTTTACTATTTGTTATTGAAATAGCCAAACCAACAGCTAAATTTTCCAAGCTTCCAAATGTAATGCTATCATATATCTGACCAATAACCTTTTCTGATGGGAAACAAGGAACTCCTGACCTGCTGTTCATTTGTGCTGAAGTGTAAATATAAGTCCCAGCTGAAAAAGAATGGATTAAGTGTTTTTGGTAAGAAGGAATTTCATTCAAACATTTCTCAAGTTCATAGCCAAGTTGAAAGGAATATGAGGGCCATAGACAATGTTTTAATGTACCACTCACGACCAGCACATCCATTCCGCGCTGGTGATAAAGATTTGCATATTTTTGAACGGCAGACATTGGTGCTTTTAACCAGGGAAACAACAATACCAATGGTAAAGATTGGTTAGCCGACTGCATTTTCCATAATTCGATATGCTTATATATTTTCACCTTTTCCACTGTGGACTGCTCTAAAAATATATTGGAGTTCCTTGATCCCTGAAAAGTGATCCATGGCTTGCTTTTTCCAAACACGTTTTGAAGCTTTGTAGGCATCATACCAATCTCCTCCTGTAAGAAAAATAAATGTTATATAAGTGAGATGTTATTTCGAGTATAACAGCTATTTAGCTTGTTGGTTTTAGAATTAAATCTGTGATGAGGCCCTAGAATCCTTAGGATTTTCAGGTTTATCCAACATCAGATTCCTTCACTTGGGTTACTCTCCAGTTGATTATCAAATACCAAAATGTGACTACAAAACATGCCGTGTAAAAATATCAATAGCAGAATGAAAATCGATTTAAAAGAGCATTTGGAACACTTAAAAAACTGTAAATCAGCTTTCCTCCAATCAAATTCAACCGCAGCTAATCCACCCACCGTCAGAATGGGTGAATGCATAATTCAGGATTATTACCATGCCTGGCATCCCAAAATAATACCTGAGAATATAAAATATATGCACTACAAACCAATAACACATGCTTCTTTGTAACAAATGATCGCTCTTTATTTTCTGTCTTTTAATTGACAGGTTGTGATAAGTAAAATTCACAACATCCTCCTCGGGCTGAGGTGGGGGTGGTTGTGGTAAATATAAAGCAGAGATTCACCAAACTGAATTCTTTTTTTCTATGTCAAAATGTTTCAACCTTCATGCACATACACCTAGTTGACCTTGGGAACTCATTTTCATGTACACTCTGATTTCAATGAACATATTGACCAATAATATTACATCTCTCGAAATCGCTTTTAGCATAAACCTTATCTAGATCTAATTATGTTGCACACATGCAGATAGAGCAGCTGCAGTAAAGGTGGTGTTTCTGGGGCGAGAGAGCCTAACCAAGCCCAACGCTCTCCAGGCCGGTATTGAATTCAGAGTTTCTTTCTCCTAGACCGGTTGCCAACCCAGGCGTTTCCATTACTCCACCGCGCCTCCTTTCCTCTTCATAGAAAAAGTGGAAACTAGAATTTTAAAATCTTGGTTTTTAAAACACATTTCAAACTTTTTTGATGCTTTTGTTTTAGATTTAATTACGACGTCATAGATTAAATTTAATATTTCCAATAAGACAAATACGATAACAGGAGAGAGTTTTGCAGAAAGATTTGTGCCATATAATGTTTGTTAATGACGTGTGTTATGACGTTTGTTAATTGTAAATTCTATTTATATTTTGTAGATATTCTCAATTTTTGTAAGGTGGATCAGTGGCGCCGGCAAATTCTACAACTTCCCCTGGCACTCAACTGTAAGGTAGACGGCTAGGAATTAGAGTGTGAATTTTTTGGGTGGTTCTTGAAAAATACAGAGTAAATTTAATGTTCTCAAAAGAAGAGATTCAAGAAAGTTCTCTAAATACAACATGGAGAAATATAAATATCGCTATCAATTTCTGTGAACCTTGTGCAGCGGACAGGAATCTCAGAAAATTGAATGCCAGATACAGGACAAAAACATCATCGAATCCAAACCATCAGCGAAACTAGAGGGAAAAAAGTCGAAAAGTAAGACATCAGAAACTAAATCATAATCCTCGATCCAGAACAACATGTCCTCAATGACAAAGAAACATTTAAGCAGAAATTGGTTCCTTCAGAAAAGCGTGGTTACCATTTATCTGATTCCTCACTCTGTATCGCGAAGCTCGATTTCCGCTGGGACCCTGAAGATGGGCTCGGTTTAACCCGACTTAGCATCAACAGACAAAACATAATCCTCCGTCCAGAACAACTTGTCATAAATGACAAAGGAATTTTCAAGCAGACCAGCGGGGTTACCATTTATCTGACACTTCACTCTGTATCACGTAGCTCGATTTCCGCTGGGACCAGGAATATGGGCTCGTTTCCAATCCACTTAGCATCAATTAACAAAATATAATACTACAGCCAGAAAAACTTGTCATCAATGACAAAGGAATTTTCAAGCAGAAATCGGTTCCTTCAGACCACCGTGGTTACCATTTATCTGACTCCTCACTCTGTATTGCGTAGCTCGATTTCCGTTGGAACAGTGAAGATGGTCTCGGTTCTGCTCGACTTAGGATCAACAAACTAATCATAAGCCTCCATCCAGAACAACTTGTCATCAATGACAAAAGAATTTTCAAGCAGAAATCGGTTCTTTCAGACCACCGTGGTTGTCATTTATCTGACTCCTCCCTCTGTATCGCGTAGCTCGATTTCGGCTGTGACCATGAAGATGGGATCGGTTTCACTCGACTTAGCATCAACAAACAAATCATAATCCTCCATCTTGTCTTTAATGACAAAGGATCTTTGAAGCAGAAATCGTTAAATTTCAGACCACCGTGGTTATCATAGATCTGACACCTCAGTCTCTAACGCGTAGCTAGATTTCGACTTGGACCAGGAATATGGGCTCGGTTCCACTCGAATTAGCATCAACAAAGAAACATAATCCACTATTGTCCTCAATGTCGATGGATATTTCAAGTAGAAATCGGTTTCATTGAACAAGACAGAATGAAATTAAATTTGACATAAATGAAATAATAGAATTTATTTGCCTTATTGAATATGTCAAGGAATGGAATAATGAAGTACCTTCTACTTTTGACCAATTTTTCGGTGTAAACAAAATAATTAAACCGAGTGCTGATATATCTTTAAATTAAGCATCCTTGCCTAACTTGTTTATGTTGAGTAATTAGTGTTATATATTTGCCAAGGCGGCAAAAGAGAACATTAATTATTAGTAACTTTAGTCTTTCCATTTTCTTTAAACCTTCGACGTTGCTCACATTTTTGGTTCAGGTATCCTCAGCTTTCTTCTGAAGAACAACATTTCTGCTTCTTCGAATCTCTTTTTCATCTTTGTGGAGATTTTCCAGCATTCACTCCATATAGAAGGACTGATATTACAAAATATTAAGCGCTTTCTGTATCCTTATAATACTTTGTGGTATTTCAAAGTGAATTTAAATTGATTGGAGTGGTTACCACTCCCAGGCCTGACTCCAGTCATCTTCAGTAGAACTCCAGCTCCAACCATCTCCAGCAGGCCACCAGCTTCTTCCGACCACACCCAGCAGAATTAACAACGATATGTAAACAACTGCCCATTTTTCACAAAACTCTGCAGCGACTATGGCATTGTCATTCTCATGATCACCACCACGAAACTCTCATTATCGGGACATCCACTCTCTAGTGACCACTAAATTGTACTCCTCAGCACAACGACCTCCAGCGACTACGGATCTGTCATTCTCAGGACCAGCGCTCGCTCGCTAGCCACCACGAAACTCTTATTATCTGGACATCCTCTCTCTAGTGACCACTAAATTGTACTCATCGGCACAACGAACTCCAGCGACTACGGATCTGTCATTCTCAGGACCAGCGCTCGCTCACTAGCCACCAAGAGACTCTCATTCTCGGGACAGCCACTCTAGTGACCACTAAATTGTACTCCCAGCACAGCACAACTACCTTCTTGCGACTACGGATCTGTCCATTCACAGGACCAGCGCTCGCTCGCTAGCCACCAAGAGACTCTCATTCTCAGGACACCCACTCTCTAGTGACCACTAAATTGTACTCCTCAGCACAACGACCTCCAGCGACTACGGAGCTGTCATTCTCCTCAGGACCAGCGCTCGCTCGCTAGCCACCAAGAGACTCTCATTCTTGGGACACCCACTCTCTAGTGACCACTAAATTGTACTCAACTCAACGCCTCCAGCGACTAACTGTCATTCCTCCAGCACAACGGACACCACTGTCATTCTCCTCAGCTGTCATTCTCAGGACCAGCGCTCGCTCCAAAAGGCTCTCGCCACCAAGAAACTCTCATTCTCCTCAGCACAACGACCTCCAGCGACTACTGGACCAGCCCTCGCTCACTTCCCAAGAAACTCTCTAGTGACCACTAAATTGTACTCCTCAGCACAACGACCTCCAGCGACTACGGATCTGTCATTCTCTCAGGACCAGCGCACCAACTCTAGCCAATAAATTGTACTCCTCAGCACAGCCACCAAGAGACTCTCATTCTCGGGACACCCACGCTCTAGTGATCACATTCTCAACACCCACTTATACCACTAAATTGCCCAGCACAACGACCTCCAGCGACTACGGATCTGTCATTCTCCAGGACCAGCGCTCGCTCGCCACTAAATTGTACCACCAAGAAACGACTCTCATTCTCAGGACACCCACTCTCTAGTGACCAATAAATTGTACTCCTCAGCACAACGACCTCCATCGACTACGGATCTGTCATTCTCCAGGACCAGCGCTCGCTATTCTCAGGACCAGCTACCACGAAACTCTCATTCTCGGACACCAACTCTCTAGTGACCACTAAATTATACTCCTCAGCACAACGACCTCCAGCGACTACGGATCTGTCATTCTCAGGACCAGCGCTCGCTCGCTAGCCACCAAGAAACTCTCATTCTCGGACACCCACTCTCTAGTGATCACTAAATTGTCTCATTCTCCTCAGCACAACTCTGTCATTCTCAGGACCACCTCGCTCTTTGCGACTCCACGGATCTGTCATTCTCAGGACCAGCGCTCGCTCGCTAGCCACCAAGAGGCTCTCATTCTCAGGACACCCACTCTCTAGTGACCACTAAATTGTACTCCTCAGCACAACGACCTCCAGCGACTACGGATCTGTCATTCTCAGGACCAGCGCTCGCTCGCTAGCCACCAAGAAACTCTCATTCTCAGGACACCCACTCTCTAGTGACCACTAAATTGTACTCCTCAGTACAACGACCTCCACCAGCGACCACCAAGAGACTCTCACGGATCTGTGACCACTAAATTGTACTCCTCAGGACCAGCGACTACGGATCTGTCATTCTCAGGACCAGCGCTCGCTCGCACCAAGAGACTCTCATTCTCGGACACCCACTCTCTAGTGACCACTAAATTGTACTCCTCAGCACAACGACCTCCAGCGACTACGGATCTGTCATTCTCAGGACCAGCACTCGCTCTCATTCTCAGGACACCACTCTCTAGCCCACCAAGATTCTCAGACTCTCTATTCTCAGGACACCCACTCTCTAGTGACCACTAAATTATACTCCTCAGCACAACGACCTCCAGCGACTACGGATCTGTCATTCTCAGGACCAGCGCTCGCTCGCTAGCCACCAAGAAACTCTCATTCTCAGGACACCCACTCTCTAGTGACCACTAAATTGTATTCTCCTCAGCACAAAGACCTCCAAGCGACTACGGATCTGTCATTCCTCAGGACCAAGCGCTTTCTCAGGACACCCACTCTCTAGTGACCCGCTAAATTGCCACCAAGACCTCCAGCATTCTGTCATTCTCAGGACACCCTAGCCACCAAGAAATCTAGTGACCACTAAATTGTACTCCTCAGCACAACGACCTCCAGCGACTACGGATCTGTCATTCTCAGGACCAGCGCTCGCTCGCCAGCCACCAAGAGACTCTCATTCTCAGGACACCCACTCTCTAGTGACCACTAAATTGTACTCCTCAGCACAACGACCTCCAGCGACTACGGATCTGTCATTCTCGGGACCAGCGCTCGCTCGCTACCACAAGAAACTCTCATTCTCAGGACACCCACTCTCTAGTGACCACTAAATTGTACTCCTCATTCGACCTCCAGCGACTACGGATCTGTCATTCTCAGGACCAGTGCTCGCTCGCTACCACCAAAAACTTCTCATTCTCAGGACACCCACTCTAGTGACCACAGCACAAAGACCTCCAGCGACTACGGATCTGTCATTCTCAGGACCAGCGCTGGACCAGCGATCTCATTCTCCAGGACACCCACTCTCTAGCCAGCGCTACGCTGTCATTCTCAGCCAGCCACCAAGAAACTCTCATTCTCAGACACCCACTCTCTAGTGACCACTAAATTGTACTCCTCAGCACAACGACCTCCAGCGACTACGGATCTGTCATTCTCAGGACCAGCGCTCGCTCGCTAGCCACCAAGAGACTCTCATTCTCGGGACACCCACTCTCTAGTGACCACTAAATTGTACTCCTCAGCACAACGACCTCCAGCGACTACGGATCTGTCATTCTCAGGACCAGCGCTCGCTCGCTAGCCACCAAGAAACTCTCATTCTCAGGACACCCTCTCTAGTGACCACTAAATTGTACTCCTCAGCACAACGACCTCCAGCGACTACGGATCTGTCATTCTCAGGACCAGCGCTCGCTCGCTAGCCACCAAGAGACTCTCATTCTCACACCCACTCTCTAGTGACCACTAAATTGTACTCCTCAGCACAACGACCTTTGCGACTACGGATCACTGTCATTCTCAGGACCAGTGACCACCAAATTGTCATTCTCAGGACACCCAGCCACTAAATTGTACTCCTCAGCACAACTCCAGCGACTACGGATCTGTCATTCTCAGGACCAGCGCTCGCTCGCTAGCCACCAAGAAACTCTCATTCTCAGGACACCCACTCTAGTGACCACTAAATTGTACTCCCAGCACAACGACCTCCAGCGACTACGGATCTGTCATTCTCAGGACCAGCGCTCGCTCTCAGGACCAGCCTTAGCCACCAAGAAACTCTCATTCTCGGGACACCCACTTTCCCCTAGTGACCACTAAATTGTACTCCTCAGCACAACGACTTCCAGCGACTACGGATCTGTCATTCTCAGGACCAGCGCTCGCTCGGATCGCTAGCCACCAAGAAACTCTCATTCTCAGGACACCCACTCTCTAGTGACCACTAAATTGTACTCCTCAACGAAACGACCTCCAGCGACTACGGATCTGTCATTCTTTCAGGACCAGCGGATCGCTGGGACCACTAAATTGCCCACTCCTCCAGTGACTCATTCTCAGGACACCCAAGTGACCACTAAATTGTACTCCTCAGCACAACGACCTCCAGCGACTACGGATCTGTCATTCTCAGGACCAGCGCTCGCTCGCTAGCCACCAAGAAACTCTCATTCTCGGGACACCCACTCTAGTGACCACTAAATTGTACTCCCTCAGCACAACGACCTCCAGCGACTACGGATCTGTCATTCTCAGGACCAGCGCTCGCTCGCTAGCCACCAAGAGACTCTCATTCTCGGGACACCCACTCTCTAGTGACCACTAAATTGTACTCCCCAGCACAACGACCTCCAGCGACTACGGATCTGTCCATTCTCCTCAGGACCAGCGCTCGGATCTATCGCTAGCCACCAAGAAACTCTCATTCTCAGGACACCCACTCTCTAGTGACCACTAAATTGTACTCCTCAGCACAACGACCTCCAGCGACTACGGATCTGTCATTCTCAGGACCAGCGCTCGCTCGCTATTCTCAGGACAGCCACCAAGACCACTAAATTTTCAGTACTCCTCATTCTACGGACCTCCAACGGCCTGACACCACACTCTAGTGACCACTAAATTGTACTCCTCAGCACAACGACCTCCAGCGACTACGGATCTGTCATTCTCAGGACCAGCGCTCGCTCGCTAGCCACCAAGAAAACTCTCATTCTCGGACACCCACTCTCTAGTGACCACTAAATTATACTCCTCAGCACAACGACCTCCAGCGACTACGGATCTGTCAGGACCAGCGCTTCTCCACCAAGAGACCAGCGGACACCCACTCGTGACCACTAAATTGTACTCCTCAGCCTCCAGCGACTACGGATCTGTCATTCTCTCAGACCAGCGCTCGCTCATTCAAGAAACTCTCATTCTTGGGACACCCACTCTCTAGTGACCACTAAATTGTACTCCTCAGCACAACGACCTCCAGCGACTACGGATCTGTCATTCTCAGGACCAGCGCTCGCTCGCTAGCCACCAAGAAACTCTCATTCTCGGGACACCCACTCTCTAGTGACCACTAAATTGTACTCCTCAGCACAACGACCTCCAGCGACTACGGATCTGTCATTCTCAGGACCAGCGCTCGCTCGCTAGCCACCAAGAGACTCTCATTCTCGGGACACCCACTCCCTAGTGACCACTAAATTGTACTCCTCAGCACAACGACCTCCAGCGACTACGGATCTGTCATTCTCAGGACCAGCGCTCGCTCGCTAGCCACCAAGAAACTCTCATTCTCAGGACACCCACTCTAGTGACCACTAAATTGTACCCTCAGCACAACGACCTCCAGCGACTACGGATCTCTGATCATTTTCAGGACCAGCGCTTCCAGCTCGGATCTGTCACCAAGAGCTCACTCTCATTCTTCGGGACACCCAGTCTAGTGACCAACGACCTCCAACTACGGATCTGTCATTCCCAGGACCAGCACAAAAAACCTCATTCCTCCAGCGACTACGGATCCAGCGACTGTCTGTCATTCTGGACCAGCGCTCGCTCACTAGCCACCAAGAAACTCATTTCAGGGACACCCACTCTCTAGTGACCACTAAATTGTACCCTCAGCACAACGACCTCCAGGACTACGGATCTGTCATTCTCAGGACCAGCGCTCATCGCCACAAGAAACTCTCATTCTCAGGACCCCAGCCCACTAAATTGTACTCCTGACACTAAATTGTAAGACCACGGACTCGGATCTGTCATTCTCAGGACCAGCGCCGCTCCAGCCACCAAAAAACTCATTCTCAGGACACCCACTCTCTAGTGACCAATTGTACTCCCTCAGCACAACGACCTCCAGCGACTACGGATCTGTCATTCTCAGGACCAGCGCTCGCTCGCTAGCCACCAAGAGACTCTCATTCCCACTCTCAGTGACCACTAAATTGTACCTCCAGCACAACTACCTCCAGCGACTACGGATCTGTCATTCTCAGGACCAGCGCTCGCTCTGCTAGCCACCAAGAGACTCATTCTCAGGACACCCACCTCTAGTGACCACTAAATTGTAATCCTCAGCACAACGACCTCCAGCGACTACGGATCTGTCATTCTCAGAACCAGCGCTTCCTCAGGATTCTCAGCGCCCACTCCTAGTCCACTAGCCCTCACCAAGAGATCTGTCATTCTCAGGACCAGACTCCGCTAGCCACCAAGAAACTCTCATTCTGGACACCCACTCTCTAGTGACCACTAAATTGTACTCCCCAGCACAACGACCTCCAGCGACTACGGATCTGTCATTCTCAGGACCAGCGCTCGCTAGCCACCAAGAAACTCTCATTCCTCCAGGACTACGGATCTGTCATTCTGGACCAGCGCCTCGCTAGTGACCAAGAAATCTAAACCCACTTGTGACCACTAAATTGTACTCAGCACAACGACTTCCAGCGACTACGGATCTGTCATTCTCAGGACCAGCGCTCGCTCGCTAGCCACCAAGAAACTCTCATTCTCAGGACACCCACCCTCTAGTGACCACTAAATTGTACTCCCCAGCACAACGACCTCCAGCGACTACGGATCTGTCATTCTCAGGACCAGCGCTCGCTCGCTAGCCACCAAGAAACTCTCATTCTCAGGACACCCACCTCTAGTGACCACTAAATTGTACCTCAGCACAACGACCTCCAGCGACTACGGATCTGTCATTCTCAGGACCAGCGCCTGCCTGCCAGCCACCAAGAGAAACTCTCATTCGGGACACCCACTCTAGTGACCACTAAATTGTACTCCTCAGCACAACGACCTCCAGCGACTACGGATCTGTCATTCTCAGGACCAGCGCTCGCCTGCTAGCCACCAAGAAACCTCATTCCGGACACCCACTCTAGTGACCACTAAATTGTACTCCTCAGCACAACGACCCCAGCGACTACGGATCTGTCATTTCAGGACCAGCGCTCGCTCGCTAGCCACCAAGAAACTCTCATTCGACCACCCACAACGACCTCCAGCGACTACGGATCTGTCAGTGACCACTAAATTGTACCACTCCCCAGCACAACGACCCTCCAGCGACTACGGATCTGTCATTCTCAGACCAGCGCTCGCTCGCTAGCCACCAAGAGACTCTCATTCTCGGACACCCACTCTAGTGACCACTAAATTGTACTCCTCAGCACAACGACCTCCAGCGACTACGGATCTGTCATTCTCAGGACCAGCGCTCGCTCGCTAGCCACCAAGAGACTTCCTCATTCTCGACACCCATCGCTAGCTCTAGTGACCACTAAATTGTACTCCCCTCAGCACAACGACCTCCAGCGACTACGGATCTGTGGTTAAATTCAGGACAGTGCCTCGCCTGCTCAGCCACCAAGAGACAAGCGCTCTCAGGACACCCACTCTCTAGTGACCACTAAATTGTACCCTCAGCACAACGACCTCCAGCGACTACGGATCTGTCATTCTCAGGACCAGCGCCTCGCTCGCTAGCCACCAAGAAACTCTCATTCTTGGGACACCACCTAGTGACCACTAAATTGTACTCCTCAGCACAACGACCTCCAGCGACTACGGATCTGTCATTCTCAGGACCAGCGCCGCTCGCTAGCCACCAAGAAACTCTCATTCTCAGGACACCCACCTCTAGTGACCACTAAATTGTACCTCAGCACAACGACCTCAGCGACTACGGATCTGGTTATTCTCAGGACCAGCGCTCGCTCGCTAGCCACCAAGAAACTCCATTCTCGGGACACCCACTCTCCTAGTGACCACTAAATTGTACCTCCAGCGACTACGGATCTGTCATTCTCGGACCAGCGCAGCGACTACGGATCTGTCATTCTCAGGACCAGCGCCACACAAATTGTACTCCTCAGCCAACGACCTCCAGCGACTACGGATCTGTCATTCTCAGGATCAGCGCTCGCTCGCCTCAAAACTCTCATTCTCGGACACCCACTCTCCCAGAGCCACCAAGAAAACTCATTCATTCTCAGGTTACCACTCTCTTGTGACCACTAAATTGACACCCACCACCAGAGTCTTCTAGTGACCACTAAATTGTACTCCTCAGCACAACGACCTCCAGCGACTACGGGATCTGTCATTCTCAGGACCAGCGCTCCTCAGCTCACAGCCACCAAGAAACTCTCATTCCATCGGGACACCCACCTCTAGTGACCACTAAATTGTACTCCTCAGCACAACGACCTCCAGCGACTACGGATCTGTCATTCTCAGGACCACTACGGATCCACCAAGAAACTCTCATTCTTGGGACACCCACTCAGTGACCACTAAATTGTACTCCCCTTAACGCCTCCACCGACTACGGATCTGAGGACCAGCGCTCGCTCATAGGAGACATCATTCTTTTCTAGTGACCACTAAATTGTACTCCTCAGCACAACGACCTCCAGCGACTACGGATCTGTCATTCTCAGGACCAGCGCTCGCTCGCTAGCCACCAAGAAACTCTCATTCTCGGACACCCACTCTAGTGACCACTAAATTGTACTCCTCAGCACAACGACCTCCAGCGACTACGGATCTGTCATTCTCAGGACCAGTGCTACGCTAGCCACCAAAGAACTCTCATTTCTCGAGGAACTAAATTGTAATCAAAAACTCTCACGTGTCATTCTCAGGACCAGCGCTGCTGCACTAAAGCTCTTATTCTCCAGCACCAACTCCTCAACACATGACCAGCGACTCGGATCTCATTCTCAGGACCAGCGCTCGCTCGCAGCCACCAAGAAACTCTCATTCTCAGGACACCCAATCTAGTGACCACTAAATTGCACAACAACGACCTCCAGCGACTACGGATCTGTCATTCTCAGGACCAGCTCTCGCTCGCTAGCCACCAAGAAACTCCTCATTCTCGGGACACCCACTCTAGTGACCACTAAATTGTACCCTCAGCACAACGACCTCCAGCGACTACGGATCTGTCATTCTCAGGACCAGCGCTCGCTCGCTAGCCACCAAGAGACTGTCATTCTCGGGACACCCACTCTCTAGTGACCACTAAATTATACCCTCAGCACAACGACCCAGCGACTACGGATCTGTCATTCTCCAGGACCAGCGCTCTCATGCTCACAGCCACCAAGACTCCTCAGCACAACGACTTCCAGCGACTACGGATCATTCTCAGGACCAGGACACCCATTCTCAGGACACCTCTAGTGACCACTAAATTGTACTCCTCAGCACAACGACCTCCAGCGACTACGGATCTGTCATTCTCAGGACCAGCGCCTGCTCGCTAGCCACCAAGAAACTCTCATTCTCGGGACACCCACCACTAAATTGTACTCCTCAGTGACCACAGCGACTAAATTGTACCAGCCTCGCACGCTAGCCAACGACTCTCCAGCGACTACGGATCTGTCCACTATTCTCCTCAGGACCAGCGACTACGGATCTGTCATTCTCAGGACCAGCGCTCGCTCGCCAAGAGAAACTCTCATTCTTGGGACACCCACTCTAGTGACCACTAAATTGTACTCCCTCAGCACAACGACCTCCAGCGACTACGGATCTGTCATTCTCAGGACCAGCGCCTCGCTCGCTAGCCACCAAGAAACTCTCATTCTCGGACACCCACTCTAGTGACCACTAAATTGTACTCCTCAGCACAACGACCTCCAGCGACTACGGATCTGTCATTCTCAGGACCAGCGCTCGCCTGCTAGCCACCAAGAGACTCTCATTCTCACCACTCTCTAGACACCCTCAGCACAACGACCTCCCCAGTGACCATTCTAAATTGTCAGCCACCAAGAGACTTAGCACAAGTGACGACTCCTCACAACGACTACGGATCTGTCATTCTCAGGACCAGCGCTCGCTCGCTAGCCACCAAGAAACTCTCATTCTCGGACACCCACTCTCTAGTGACCACCACTAAATTGTACTCCTACAGCACAACGACCTCCAGCGACCACGGATCTGTCATTCAGGACCAGCGCCCACTCTCCTCATAGCTACCAAGAGACTCCTGTCATTCTCGGACACCCACCACCAAGAAACTCTAGTGACCACTAAATTGTACCCTCAGCACAACGACCTCCAGCGACTACGGATCTGTCATTCTCAGGGACCAGCGCTCGCCTCAACCAGCCTCCACCAAGAAACCTGCGCTCATTCTGGACACCCACTCTAGTGACCACCTAAATTGTACTCCCTCAGCACAACGACCTCCAGCGACTACGGATCTGTCATTTTCAGGACCAGTGCTCGCTCGCTAGCCACCAAGAACTCTCCATTCTCGGACACCACTCGAGTGACCACTAAATTGTACTCCTCAGCACAACGACCTCCAGCGACTACGGATCTGTCATTTCTCAGGACCAGCGCTCGCTCAAGGAAACTCTCATTCTCAGGACACCCACTCTCTAGTGACCACTAAATTGTACTCCTCAGTACAACGACCTCCAGCGACTACGGATTGTCATTCTCAGGACCAGCGCTTTCGCTCGTTAGCCACCAAGAACCTCTCATTCTCGACACCCATTCTAGTGACCACTAAATTGTACTCAGCACAACGACTTCCAGCGACTACGGATCTGTCATTCTCAGGACCAGCGCTCGCTCGCCAGCCACCAAGATCTCATTCTCGGACACCCACTCTCCTAGTGACCACTAAATTGTACTCCTCAGCACAACGACCTCCAGCGACTACGGATCTGTCATTCTCAGGACCAGCGCTCGCTCGCTCCACCAAGAAACTTCCTCTATTCCGGACACCCACCTAGTGACCACAAAATTGTGTACCCCCAGCACAACGACCTCCAGCGACTACGGATCATTCTCGGCCTGCTAGCCACCAAGAGACTCCATTCTCTCTCTCTAGACCACTAAATTGTACTCCCTCAGCACAACGACCCAGCGACAACGGACCAGCGCCCGCTTCCCCATTCTCGGGACACCCACTTAGTGACCACTAAATTGGTACCCAGCACAACGATCTCTGTCATTCCTTTAGGACCAGCGCTCGCGCCACCAAGAAAACTGCACCCACCTCTAGTGACCACTAAATTGTACCCCCACCAACGACCTCCAGCGACTCGGATCTGCTTGGCATTCAGGACCAGCGCCTGCTCGCTAGCCACCAAGAGACCATTCGGACACCACCTCTAGTGACCACTAAATTGTACTTCCCAGCACAACGACCTCCAGCGATTACGGATCTGTCATTCTCAGGGACCAGCGCTCGCTAGCTACCAAGAGAGACTCATGCCGGGACACCCACCAAGACCAGCACAACGACTAAATTGTCACTCAGGACCAGCATTTGCACCCACTCTAGTGACCACTAAATTGTACGGACCTCCAGTACATTCATTCACCAGCGCCTGCTCTAGCCACCAAGAGACTCTCTCATTCGACACCCACTCTCTAGTGACCACTAAATTGTACTTTTTCAACAACGACCCTTGACTACGGATCTGTCATTCTCAGGACCAGCGACTCGCTCGCTAGCCACCAAAAGACTCCCTCATTCTCGAACACCCAATCTAGTGACCACTAAATTGTACGCACAACGACCTCCAGCGACTACATGGATCTGTCATTGGTCAGGACCAGCGCCGCTCGCCAGCTACCAAGAAACTCTTATTCATTCTGACCACTTCAAATTGGACACCCAGCGATTCTGTTAGTGGACCAGCGCTCGCCTGCCAAATTGTCTCATTCTCGACTCAGCCACAAATTGTACTCCCAGCCAAATCTAGACTCCAGCGACTACGGATCCGTCATTCTCAGGACCAGCGCTCGCCTGCCAACCAAGAAATCTCTCATTAGTGACCACTCGGCACACCCACTACGGATCTAGTGACCACCAAGAGACTTCATTCTAAATTAGTGACCACTAAATTACCTCAGCACAACGACCTCCAGCGACTACGGATCTGTCATTCTCAGGACCAGCGCTCGCTCGCCAGCCACAAGAGACGTCCCGGACACCCACTCTAGTGACCACTAAATTATACACAACGACCTCCAGCGACTACGGATCTGTCATTCTCAGGACCAGCGGCTCGCTAGCTACCAAGAGTCTCTCATGCTCGGGACACCCAATTTCAGTGACCACTAAATTGTACTCCTCAGTACAACGACTTCCAGCGACTACGGATCTGTCAGTTCTCAGACCAGCGCTCGCTCACAGCCACCAAGAAACCGCCCCGGGACACCCACTTAGTGACCATTCCGGACACCCAGCGACTACGGATCTAGTGCTCGCTCACCACAAGAAACTGTGACCACTAAATTTACCCCAGCACAACGACCCCAGCGACTACGGATCTGGTATTCTTAGACCAGCGCCGCTATCCACCAAGAAACTCAGGACCCCAGACCCAGCGACTCTCATTCTCGACCAGCCTCGCTAGCCACCAAGAAACTGACACCCACTCTAGTGACCACTAAATTGTACTAGTGCGACCATCTGGTCATTCTCAGGACCAGCGCTTCAAGTAGCCACCAAGAAACTCCATTCCAGGACACCCACTCTCTAGTGACCACCTCCAGCGACTACGGATCTGGTTGGCTTTCAGGACCAGTGCCTGCTCACAGCCACCAAGAATCTCTGTCAGTGACCACTAAATTGTACAGCACAACGACCAGCGACTACGGATCTGGTTGGTCGCGGACCAGCGCCTAGCCACCAAGAAACTCTCATTCGGACACCCACTCTAGTGACCACTAAATTGTAATTTCAGCACAACGACCTCCAGCGACTACGGATCTGTCATTCCCAGCGCTCGCCTGCCAGCCACCAAGAAACTCTCATTCTCGGACACCCACTCTAGTGACCACTAAATTGTACTCCCAGCACAACGACCTCCAGCGACTACGGATCTGTCATTCAGGACCAGCGCTTCCACCAAGAACCTACCAAAGAAACTCTCAGCACAACGACCCTCCAGCGACTATTCGGACACCCAGCCACCAAGAAACCCCCATAGTGACCACTTAAATTGTACTCCTCAGCACAACGACTTCCAGCGACTACGGATCTGTCATTCAGGACCAGCGCTCGCTCGCTAGCCACCAAGAAACTTCATTCCGGGACACCCACTCTAGTGACCACTAAATTGTACTCCCTGCACAACGGACCTCCAGCGACTACGGATCTGTCATTCAGGACCAACGCCACCAAGAAACTCTCCACACCCAACCCTTCTAGTGACCACTAAATTGTACTCCTCAGCACAACGACCTCCAGCGACTATTGATCTGTCATTTTTCAGGACCAGCGCTCAGTCGCGCCACCAAGAAACTCTCATTCTGGACACCCACCCACGAGTGACCACTAAATTGTACTCCCACACAACGACCCAGCGACTACGGATCTGTTTTCGTTTTTTGGGACCAGCGCCTGCCTGCTAGCCACCAAGAACTATTCCCGACACCCACTCTCTTAGTGACCACTAAATTGTACTCCCCTGCACAACGACCTCCAGCGACTACGGATCCATGTCATTTTGGACCAGCGCTCGCTCGCTAGCCACCAAGAAACTCCCCTTCTCGGGACACCCACTCTAGTGACCACTAAATTGTACTCCTTAGTCCAGAAAGCGACTACGGATCTGGTCAGCCAGCGCTCGCTCGCTAGCCACCAAGAAACTACCGGACACCCCAATCTGTGACCACTAAATTGTACTCCTTTAGCACAACGACCCAGCGACTACGGATCTGTCATTCTCAGGACCAGCGCTCGCCTGCTAGCCACCAAGAAACTCTCATTCTCGGACACCCACCTCTAGTGACCACTAAATTGTACTCCCCAGCACAACGACCTCCAGCGACTACGGATCTGTCACCAGGACCATGCCTGCCTGCCAGCCACCAAGAGACCACCACCCAGAGACTGTCATTCTATTCTCGCTCAGCCAATTTTAAG